ATTTACCTATGAAGTTACTTTTAGCTGTGTATTTTTGCTTCATATGGCTTCAAGTTACTGTCTAATGTTCTTTTATTTCAGCCTGAAATAAAAGGCTCCTTTTAGCATTAATTGTAGAATAGATTTACTAGAGACAACTGCCATCAGCTTTTATTTCCCTGTTAATGTCTGAGTTTCTCCATTGTTTCTGAAGGAGAGTTTATACAACTCTCCTTCAGAAAGGGAGATATACAGCTGTCAGTTTGCAGGGTTTTTGCTTTGTTTTGTTTTGTTTTTTTCCCCTTTCTGAACTGTAAGTTTGTCCTGCCAATGTCTTCTGAACTCCATGGTTTCTGAAGAACACTTGGCTGTTAATCTCATAGAGGATCCTTGTACTCAATGAGTCCCTTCTCTTGTTGTTTCCAAGGTGCTCTGTTTATCTTTAATTTTTGACAGTTGTATTATAATGTCTCTCAGTGTGGACATCTTTGAATTTATGCTGCTTTAAATGTTCGAGTATCATTGATGCCCAGATTTCTGTTTGTAATAAAACTTTGGAAGTTTGTGGTTATTATTTTTTCAAATATTCTTTCTCCCCACTTCTTTCTTCTCCCTTTTGAAGATTCCCAAAATGCAAATGCTAGAAGTTGTCTCTCAGATCTCTTCTGTTGATTTTTCTTCATACTTTTCTCCTTCTGCTCCTCAAATGGGACAATTTTAACTGACCTAAGTTCATGTTTGCTGATTCTTCATTCTGCATACTAAAATCTGTTCTTGAATCCCTCCAGTGAATTTTCCATTTTGCCCCCTGTGCATTTCAGCTCCAGAATTTCTATTTGGTTTCTTTTCACAATTTTTACCTCTGTATTGATTTTCACTATTTAGTGAAACATATTTCTCCTGATTCTCTTTAGTTATTTGTACATGAATTCCTTCAGCTCTTTGACTATTTTAAGACAGTTGATTTAAAGTCTTTGTCTAATAAGTCAGTCCAGTGCTTGGCCTTTTCCAGGAACAATTTCTGTTTATTGCTCTCCCTGCAAATGGGTTATACTTTCATATATGCATAGCTCATGTTTTCTGAAGTTGAAAACTAGACATTTTTAATATTACAATATGGTAACTCTGAAAATTACATTTTCTAAACTATTTTTGTATAGGCTGTATTCTTTGTGTGGTCACTGAAGTCTTTGCTCTGTTAGCTTATTGGTCTTCTAGTGTTTTCACAGAAATTTCCTTAAATGTGTTGAGCAAAAAAAAAAAAAATCCAGTATTTTTATCCGGGGCCTGGGGGTATGTTTGAATCATGCCTTCAGTAGTCAGTTGGGCAGTTTACAACTCTGCCTTTGCCTTTCCTTCTTGCTTGTGAAGATACTGAAAGTCAGCTAGAGGTGTAAACAAGAGACTCTCTCAGATGCCTTATGAGCATGTACAAGGTTATCTAGATTCCTAGGAATATGGAAACTTTCCAAAACCCTGCTTCCCCAGACCATCTCACTCCCAGCTTTCCCTTCCAGTTTTTTCTACATGTCTATTACTTTTCTCAATTAATTTTCTTTCTTTTTTCTTTTTTTTTTTTTTTTTGCTCAAGTGGTAGCTGCTGACTCATTGGCTTTTAAAAGTTTTTTATTTTTCTATCAAATGCCTCTGCTTTGGCTGACTTTCTTTCCTGAGAAAGACCAAAGTAGGGGGGAAATGCAAACCATTTCTGTTCATCCTTCAGGGAGTTGCCCAATAGGATGAGGAAAAAAAAAAAAAAACACCTACAATTTTTTGAGAGCAAGATCTACTCAACTCCATCTGGCACCAGGAACCCACACTGGGAACCCAGGCTGCTGTCTTCAAGGCCACTGCTGAGCTAGAGAGGGAGAAATGGACCAAAGGAAAGGGAAAGTATGATCCCACTAAGCTCTGCTACTGAGTTCCAGTTGTTTTTTCTGCATTCAGCTGGTTGCTAAAAACTTTTGAGGATTTTTCAGAATTTCAATACACTTAATTGTTTGTCAACCCAATCAGAATACCTGTTGGTACAGTCCAGGAATCTGTGTTTCAACAACTCTCTTCAAGATTTTTGCGTAAAAGAGTGTGTGTGTGTGTGTGTGTGTGTGTGCGCGCTAATGTTTCACATTGTCTCTTGTGTCATCTCTCTTTTGGGGGGCTGGGCTCCTCGAGTCATAAGCCTCGCTCTCCCACCCTAGAGTAGCCACTCTTGTTTTTAACACAGATGAGTTCTGCCAGTTCTAGCTGAATGGCATTATACTGTCACCATCATGCTCCTGGGTCTCATCATCTTGCTGTGTGTGTTCGTAGCCTATTCACTGCTATGGCTGTCCAATGCTTCACTTTATAAATAGCTCACACTTCTTGACCCTTCACTGTTGATAGACAACTGTGTTGTATCCAGATTTTACAAATCATGCTGCTATGAATAATAATTTCATATACTTTGGCATACACATACATGCATTTCTGTTGGTTTATAACTAAGAGTGCAATTGCTGGGTCATAGGTGAGTCATAACTTGGCTTAGTCTCTCAAAAAACAAGTTAATATGTCCATCTTTTGTGGTATAGATATTATATGTAATGTATCTATATACATTATAAGTACCACAAGAAAAATATTTTTCTTACCTTTAAACAGTTCTGTGTAAAGGAAGTGTAAATGAGGGGAGCAACATAGCCTTTTGCACTTAGGTCATTATTTACCATTTTTGATCATCTTCATCTTTTCCAATAATCTCATTTTCCACCTGGTGTCATTTTCCCCTAGCCTGAAGAATTTTCTTTACCAATTGTTATTGTGCAGATCTACTGGCGACAAATTCTTTTAATTTTCTCTTACCTGAAATATCTCCCTATTTTGCCTTTCCTTGAAGGCCATCTGTGTCAGATATAGAATTCTTAGTTGCCTTTTTTTCTTCCAACATTTTAAAGATGTTATTCTACTTTATTTTCTTTCTATGGCTTCTAATAAGAAGTCACTGGTTAAGGACAAGAGCAACAGAGAACAAAAAACTGGGAAAAGAGCATGGTAGACCTAAAACTTATCATATCAATAATGACAAAAATCTACATGAATCAACACTCCAGTGAAGGACTAAGATTATGTGACTTGGTTTATAAAAAAGAGGAAACTCAGCCATATGCTGTTTCCATCATGCACTTTTTATTTTTTATTTGACTTTTTTGTTAGTTAAGGAGTACATGTGCAGGTTTGTTATATACGTAAACTTGTGTCATGGGGTTTTGTTGTACAGATTATTTCTGTACCCATCAGTATCCACCCAAGTGTTAAGGCTTAGTATCCGTTAGCTCTTTTTCCTGATTCTCTCCCTCCTCCCATCCTCCACCCTCAAGTAGACCCCTGTGTATGTTGTTTCCCTCTGCGTGTCCATGTTTTCTCATCATGTAGCTCCCACATATAAGTGCGAACATGTGGTATTTGGTTTTCTGTTCCTGTGTTACTTTGCTAAGTATAATGGCCTCCAACTCTATCCATGTTCCTGAAAAGGACATGATCTCATCCTTTTTCATGGCTGCATAGTATTTTATGGTATATAAGTGCCACATTTTCTTTATACAGTCTCCCATTGATGGACATTTTCATTGACTCCAAGTCTTTGCTGTTGTGAATACTGCTGCAGTGGACATATGGGTACACAGAAGACAGGCACTCTCTTTTTTTATTTCATTTCTTTAAGTTCCAGGATACATATGCAGAATATGCAAGTTTGTTACATATGTATAATCTGCCCTGGCAGTTTCCTGCACCCATTGACCCATCCTCTAAGTTCCTTCACCTTGCTCCCTACTCTCCTACAGGTTCTGGTGTGAGTTGTTCCCCTCCCTGTGTCCATGTGTCCTCATTGTTCAACTCTCACCCATGTTAGGAGTGAGAACATGTGGTGTTTGGTTTTCTGTTTTTATGTCAGTTTGCTGAGGATGATGGCTTCCAGCTTCATCCATGTCTAAAGCAGTGGAAGAGCCTAGCAGGGAGTTCTTTGCATTCGGTATTTAATACATTTTGTAGGACTGCCTAAAAACTAAGGGCCTCCTCATGATTTTTTTTTATAAAGGGGGTTACAACAATATAAAGTGTCTAAATAAAATGTGCACACTGCTTAGATGTGCATGGTTCAAGAAAACAGGCAGTGCTGGTGCATTGGTGAAGAGCATTGGGACTGCATGGAGCACTTGTAACTTTAAGGTGATAACTACAGGCTCCCGGTTGCCATACGCAGTAACAAACTCTGCTTCTTTGTATTCAGGAGCTGTTCTGGACTCACACAGAGAAACTCGGGCTAGGGAATGAAGACAATTTTATATGCAACAACCCAGAGTCAAAGATTCATAGTCCTGGAAAGTAAAACAGGAGCTTTGAGAGTTTAATTGTAATGCTATTTTGACACAGGTCTTTTACAGATTGGAATTCCAATCATTCAGGGATTATCAATATTGTGCTACCTACTGTATTAATAAACAAAAAGGAAACTGGTCTCTATGAGAATATCTGGTGCCTTCAGAAAAAAACTTCACCAGGTTTAGAGAGAAAACCTCTGTCTGTACACCTCCTCCATTCCCAGGGCAAGCTCACTCTCTGGAGTCAAGTTCCCCGTGGTGAGTTTGCCCGTACAAGAGTCCAAGGGGAGAGGTAAGGAGTGGCAGGCAGGGAGTCCAGTTCAGGGACGGGGATTCCAGGACGAGAAGTGAAGGGAAAGGGGCTGGGCACAGCCTGGGGGTCCCACCCTGTTTTCCACAGGCAAATCCTGGACCAGGACTCAGGCAGACAGTGTGACAAACAGGCTTAGTGTAGAAGAGAGATCAGGACAAAGTCCCAGGTCGCAGGCATGGCTCTCAGAGTCTCAGGCTCTGAGGGCCCTGTCTGCATTGGGGGAACGCAGCGCTGATTCCCCACTCTCTTGCTTCGCTTCCTCTCCCAGTCTGTGTCGGGTCTTTCTTCCTGGATACTCATGACGCGTCCCCAATTCCCACTCCCATTGGGTGTTGGGTTTCTAGAGAAGCCATTCAGCGTCGCCGCGGTCCCGGTTCTAAAGTGCCCAGTCACCCTTTGCAACTCAGATTCTACCCAAATGCTGAGGATGGGATCATGGCGCCCCGAGCCCTCCTCCTGCTGCTCTCGGCGGCAGTGGCCCTGGCCGAGACCTGGGCGGGTGAGTGCGGGGTCGCAAAGGAAACGGCCTCTGCGGGGAGGAGAGAGGGGCCCGCCCTTGGGGCGCAGGACCCTGGGAGCCGAGCCAGGAGGAAGGTCGGGCAGGTCTCAGCCCCTCCTCGCCCCCAGGCTCCCACTCCTTGAGGTATTTCCAGACCGCCGTGTCCCGGCCCGGCCGCGGGGAGCCCCACTTTTTCGCCGTGGGCTACGTGGATGACACGCAGTTCGAGCGGTTCGACAGCGACGCCGCAATTCCGAGAGGGGAGCCGCGGACACCTTGGATGGAGCAGGAGGGGCCGGAGTATTGGGACCTGCAGACACGGAGCCTCAAGGCCCGCGCACAGACAAACCAAGTGTGCCTGCGGACCCTGCGCGGCTACTACAACCAGAGCGAGGCGGGTGAGTGACCCCGGCCCGGGCGCAGGTCACGACCCCTCCCTATTACCCATAGACGGCTCGATTCTCCCTGAGTCTCCAATGTCCACCCCGAGGCTGCGGAACCTGCCCATAGGCTCCACCCGGGAGAGCCCCAGGCGCCTTTACCCGGTTTTATTTTCAGTTTAGGCCAAAATCCCCACGGGTAGGTCTGGGGCGGGGGCGGGGGTCAGTGGGAGGGGCTGACCTCGGGGTCGGGGCCAGGGTCTCACACCTACCAGAGGATGTATGGCTGCGACTTGGGGCCTGATGGGCGCCTCCTCCGCGGGTATGACAAGCGCGCCTACGACGGCAAGGATTACCTCGCCCTGAACGAAGACCTGCGCTCCTGGACTGCGGCGGACAGGGCGGCTCAGGTCACCCAGCGCAAGTTCGAGGCGGCCCATGAGGCGGAGAAGATGAAAGCCTACCTGGAGGGCACGTGCGTGGAGTTGCTCCGCAGATACCTGGAGAACGGGAAGGAGAGGCTGCAGCGTGCAGGTACCAGGGGCAGTGAGGAGTCTTCCTCATCTCCTATACATCTCCCGGTCTGGCCACCCATGAGGAAGGGAGAAAAATGGGATCAGCGCCAGAATATTGCCCTCCCTTCAATTGAGAATGGCATGAGTTTTCCTGAGTTTCCTCTAAGGGCCCCCCCCTGCTCATTAGGACAATTAAGGGATGACTTCTCCGAGGAAATGGAGGGGAAGACAGTCCCTGGAATATTGATAGGGGTCCCCTCTGACCCTTGCAGCAGCCTTGGGTGCCGTGACTTTTTCTCTCAGGCCTTGTTCTCTACCTCATACTCAGCGTGTTTGAATGTCTGATTCCAGCTTTTCTGAGTCCCTCGGCCTCCATTCAGGTCAGGACCAGAAGTCACTGTTCGTCTCTGAGAGACTAGAACTTTCCAAGGAATAGGAGTTTATCCTAGGTGCCTGTGTCCAGGCTGGTGTCTGGGTTCTGTGCTCCCTTCCCCACCCCAGGTGTCCTGTCCATTCTCAGAATAATTACAAGGGTGCTGCTGGGGTGTCCCATGAGAGATGCAAAGTGCCTGAATTTTCTGACTCTTCCCGTCAGACCCCCCAAAGACACACGTGACCCACCACCCCATCTCTGACCAAGAGGCCACCCTGAGGTGCTGGGCCCTGGGCTTCTACCCTGTGGAGATCACACTGACCTGGCAGAGGGATGGGGAGGACCAAACTCAGGACACGGAGTTTGTGGAGACCAGGCCTTCAGGGGATGGAACCTTCCAGAAATGGGTGGCTGTTGTGGTGCCTTCCGGAGAAGAGCAGAGATACACGTGCCATGTGCAGCACGAGGGGCTCCTGGAGCCCCTCACCCTGAGATGGGGTAAGGAGGGGGATGAAGGGTCACATCTCATCTCAGGGAAAGCAGAGCCCTTCAGGAGCCCTTGAGCAGGGTCAGGGCTGAGGCCTGGGGGTCAGGGCCCCTCATCTTCCCCTCTTTTCCCAGAGCCATCTTCCCAGCCCACCATCCACATTGTGGGCATTATTGCTGGCCTGGCTGTCCTAGGATCTGTGGTCACTGGAGCTGTGGTTGCTGCTGTGATATGGAGGAGGTTGAGTTCAGGTAGGGAAGGGGTGAGGAGTGACGTCTGGGTTTTCTTGTCCCATTGGGGGTTTCAAGCCCCAAGTAGAGGCATGTCCTGCCTCCTTACTGGGAAGCACCATCCACACATGGGCTGACCCAGCCTGGGGCCCTGTGTGCAAGCACTTATTCTTTTGTGAAGCACATGTGACAATGAAGGACAGATGTATCACCTTGATGATTGTAGTCTTGGGGTCCTGATTCCAGCATTCACAAGTCAGGGGGAAATCCCTGCTAAGGACAGACCTTAGGAGGGCAGTTGGTCCAGGACCCACACCTGCTTTCTTCGTGTTTTCTGATCCTGCCCTGGGTCTGTAGTATAGTTCTGGAAACTTCTCTGGTGTCCAAGACTAGGAGGTTCCTCTAAGATCTCATGGCCCTGCCTCCTCCCTGTCCCCTCACAGTACATTTTCTTCCCACAGGTGGAAAAAGAGGAAGCTGCCTGGAAGTGGGGGGTGGGAGTGTGGAGGAGCTCACCCACCCCAAAATTCTTCCTGTCCCACCTCTCCTTTGGACTCTGACCAGGTCCTGTTTTTGTTCTACCCCAGGCAGTGACAGTCCCCAGGGCTCTGAGGTGTCTCTCACAACTTGTAAAGGTGAGAACCTGGGGGTCTGAAGTGGGTGGGTGTGGGGCAGAGAGGAAAGGAGTGCATAATAGTGATTCTTTGGGATGTTTCCAGTGTGTGGGCTGTTCAGAGTGTCATCACTTACCATGACTGACTTGAATTTGTTCATGACTATTGTTTTCTGTAGCCTGAGACAGCTGCCTTGTGTGGGACTGAGATGCAGGATTTCTTCACGCCTCCCCTTTGTGACTTGAAGAGCCTTTGGCATCTCTTCTGCAAAGGCATCTGAATACGTCTGCGTCCCTGTTAACATAATGTGAGGAGGTGGAGAGAGAGCCCACCTCATGTCCACCGTGACCTCTGTCACCACACTCATCTATGTTCCCTCCCCAATCATCTTTCGTTTTCCAGAGAGATGGGGCTTGGTGTCTTCCTCTCTGTCTCAACTTCACGGTGCACTGAGCTGCAACTGCTTACTTCCCTACTGAAAATAAGAATCTGAATATAATGTGTTTTCTCAAATATTTTGAGGTTCATGGGTTAATTAAATAAGTGAATTCCTAAAATTTGAGAAAGGAAATAAAGACCTGAGAACCTTCCAGAATCCACATGTTCCCTATGCTGAGTCTGTTGCAGGTGGGGTGGAGAAGGCTGTGAGGAGCTGAGTGTGGACAGGGCCTGGGCCCAGTTGCTGTTGAGTCCATCATAGGCTTTATGTGGTCAGTCCTCAGCTGGGTCAGCTTCACTGCTCCACTGCCCTTGTCCCTTCAGTGGAAACTTGTCCAGCAGGAGCTGTGACCACAGAGGCTCACACATCTCCCAGGGCGGCTCCTGCACACAGGAGTCTCTGTGTTTCTGAGACAAATTTTCAGACCCATTCAGCTCCTGGCCTCCTTCTAGGGCTCCTCTTCTGCTCTGCTCTGCTGCCCTCTCTCCCTGCCCTGGTTCCAGTGAGAGTGGTGCTAACTCCAATCCCAACTCATGAATCTAAAGCAGAGGCTAATTTAGACTTATATTTGTTTATGAAATTGGATCCAGCATCAAAGACTGTTCTTTCCTGAAGGGAGAAACCTGGTTGTGTGTTGTAGTGTGCGTGGGGGTTGGTGTGGGAGGAGGGGTGGAGGAGGAGGAACACACAAGCCGCCCTGCTAAGAACAGCACAGGTGGACTCAATTCAGTGTGAGGGGACCTCTTGCTGTAGCTGCCACAAAACAGTACTTGGCCTGAGTCTGTGTTAATAAAGATGCTGCCTTTAGAATGGGAGGTGTTCTATAGTGATCATTCATGCAACTGACCTTTGTTGTTGGCCATAGGACAGCATGGTTCTGCTTCTAGCGAACATTATTGAAGTAAAATGAGAAAAATAAATCTCTTACTTTTTGGAGCATGTGTTCTAGTGGGAAAAGGCAGACGATAGATACACTATAACCAGAGCAGGGAAAGAAGGTGCTAGAAGGTGGTAAGTGCTGTGAGGCAGGTGATCCAGAGTGTGGTGAGTGTGCACAGCATAGGTGGCTGTTGTGTTGGGTCATCAGTGTTTGCCACATTGCAAAGGTGACCTTTGAGGAAAGAGTTGAGGGACATGAGGAGCTGTCCAAGAGGATATCTGGGGAAGTTCTTTCCAGGCAGAGGGAACTCCAGTGCAAATGCACTAGGGCAGGAAGGTGTCTGTGTTCCCAGGAGAGCATGGAGCCCAGGAGGGCTGGAGAGAGAAACTAAGGTGAGGTGAGAGATACAGCCAGGGCAGGTGGGCCTGGAGGGTGTGGGGAAGCATCTGACCTTTGGTCTGAGTGAGATGGGAGTTAGATGACAGTTTTGAGCAGAAGAGGGACATGATACAACTTCTCTTGTAAAAGATCTGTGACTGCTGTGCCGAGAACAAAACTGGGAGCCGAGGGATGAGGAAGGCATAAGAGAAAATAGCAGGAAGTGAGTGCAGTATTCCAGGCTGGAGATGTGGGTTACCGTGACTGTGATGTGAGCAGAGGAAATAGTGAAGTGTGAGGGGATTCTGGATGCATTTTAAGATGGACTCACAGCATCTACCATGGATTGTATGTGCCGTGTGAGAAAGATGGATTTAGGACACCCATAGTTGTAAAATGAATGAGTAGAAGGAAGGGTGGAGCTGTTGTCAGTGGAGATGGGGAGACTCTGGCAGGAGCATACTGAGGAGTGGGCATCCCAGGCACTCAGCGGAGGAGATGTCTACCAGGAATGCAGGTGAGGGAGCCAGGGTGGCAGTTGGACAGACAATTCCAGAGTTTAGGGGAAATGAGAAATAGACGGGGCTGTATAGAAATAGATTTAGGAGGTCACACCATATAAACAATACTTAAAACTCTCAAGCATGGATGAGGGCACCAAGGCAGTGATTGTGGAAAAGTATTGGCAAAAGGACTGAACCCTGGACCTCCAGTTCTAAGGGATCTGATTAGTCCACACCAGAGCCGACTGCACAGTTCTGACCCCACATATAGAGGACACTTAGACGAGGACCTTCCCATGTGCACAGGAATCACCTGGATGTAGTGCTGAGATCCAGGAAGTCTGGAGCTGGGCAAGAGACTCGATTTTTGACAAGGCCAGAGTTCATCTATCTGGTCTCCAGATCAAGAACACCAGGATCCTACATGTCTAAGCATCAGCCTCGCCTTTAGTGCTTGTAATATAAGCACAGACGCCACTGCTCACACCCCTGACATCCTTGGTCTTGTGTGTAATACTCTTGAATATAATACTTTGGGAAGCGGCCTGAGTATTGCCTAAACCCCCACCAGCAATCCTGTTGCTCAGCCAAATTGGAAACCACTGAGATCAGAGATCAGAGAGTTCCCAGGTTGGGTGGATGGGGTGGGTTTTCAAACCTTGTTTAAAAGAGGATTTTTCTCACAGCAAGGAGAGGCAGGATGTATATAATCAATTATGATGTGATCTTCCCTGTTGATCTCTCCACCATGGGGTAGAAGCCAGGTAGACAATTCAGGATGTGGCTCTCACACAAAGAACACCTTTGAGTGCTGCCCTCTGATACTGGGCCACACACTGATTTCTCACTCACTTCTTGGAGCAAACTATGAAAATAAATTTCTCTAATTTACACATGAAGTCATATATCTGGTGTTGGTGGTTAATTTTATTGTGGGGAAGGCCACAGAACCAGGCTAAAAACTGCACATCCAGGAACAGAATCCACAGCCCACCCAGAACCAGGTCCCTCCTGGGAACAACTGCCCCTGCTGCTGAGCACAGACACCACTGCTCACACCTCTGACACCCTGGTGCTGGACACTGCACCCTGAGGCTAGGACAGATGTCACTGCTGTACCTGGAAACTGGACATCACCACCGCCACTCAGCCATCTTTACTAAAATGCATTCTGCACAGTCTCAGCTTCTCTGAGTCACCTCATTCTGGCTCAGATTCTGGCAGTGATAGAGGAGTTAAGAAGACATTATTTAGGCAGATTGTGAGGATACAGAGGTCCTCAGTAAGGTTTTCCTTTTAATGAAATGCAGCCTCCAAATAATTTTCTTTTCTAACAAAGAGCAGCCTGTAAAATTACTACATCTAACACGAGAGATAGACTCTAATACAGTAATAATGGGGACTTCGACTTCCCAACCTCAGCATTAGACAGATCATCTACACAGAAAATCAAGAAAGAAACACTGGATTTAAACTGAACTTCAGACCAAATAAAGCTGACAGATATTTACAAAGCATTCTATCTAACACTACAGAATATACATTATTTTCATGAAAACAAAGAACATTTTCCAGGAGAGAACCTATGTTATGATTCCAGCTGTTGCCTATCAACATTCAGTATGATGTTGGCCCTGGGTTCGTCATAGATCATAGATGGCTTTTACTATGTTGAGGTGTGTTCCTTCAATACTCAGTTTATTGACAGTCTTTTTAAACATGAATAGATGTTGAATTTTATCAAAAGCCTTTTCTGCATCTGCTGAGATAATCATGTGGTTTTAGTCTTTAATTCTGTTTATGTGATGAATCACATTTATTGATTTGCATATATTGAATCAACCTTGCATTCTGGGGATGAAACCTGCTTGATTGTGGTGGACAAGCTTTTTGATGTGCTCCTGAATTCCATTTGCCAGCATGTGGTTGAGGAATTTGTATCAATGTTCATCAAGAATATTTGCCTGAAGTTTTCTTTTTTTGTTTTTTGTTGCATCTCTGCCACATTTTGGCATGAGGATGGTACTGGCCTAATAGAATGACTTAGGGAGGAGCCTTTCCTCCTCATTTTTTTGGGAATAGTTTCAGTAGGAATGGTATCATCTCTTCTTTGCACATCTAATATAATTCGCCTGTCAATCATCTGGTTCTGGGCTTTATTTTGTTTGCTAGGCTGTTTATTACTGCCTGAATTTCAGAACTCATTATTTGTTCAGGGATTCAATTTCTTCCCAGTTCAGTCTTGGGGGGCAGGGGTGTGTATGTGTTCAGGAATTTATCCACTTCTAGATTTTCTAGTTTATGTGCATAGACGTGTTTATAATATTTTCTGGTGGTTGCTCATATTTCTGTGAAGTTAGTGGTAATGTTCCTCTTATTGTTTGATTGTGTTCATTTGAATTTTTTCTCTTTTCTTCTTTATTCATCTAGCTAGTGGTCTATTTTTTTTAGATTTTTTTAAAATAAACTTCTCAGTTCCCTGATGTTTTGATTTTTTTTTTGTCTCTGTCTCCTTAAGGAGATAATACCTTGTTAAATTTTGTGTTTTGGTTATTTTTTGTCTTCTGCTAGCCTTGGGATATGTTTGCTCAGCGAATTTCATTCCTATCCATATTCTGAATTCTCAAGTTCTTTTATTTGTGATTTTAGGTTGTTGACTTGAGATCTTTCTAACTTTTTGATATGGGCATTTACTGGTATACATTTCCCTCTTCACACTGCCTTAGCTTTTCACCAGCCATCTGGTACATTGTATCTTTGTTCTCATTAGTTTCAAATAACGACTTGATTTCTGCCTTAATTTCATTGTATTCCCAAAAGTCACTCAAGAACAGGTTACTCAATTTCTATACAATTGTATGGTTTCAGTAAATTTCTTATTCTTGATTTTGAATTTGATTAGATTGTGGTCCAAGAGACTGTTATGACTTCAGTTATTTTGCATTTGCTGAGGAGTGTTTTACTTCTGACTGTGTGATTTTAGAGTGCCATGTGGCAATGAGAAAAATATATATTCCGTTGTTTTGAAGTGGAGACTTCTGTAGCTATCCATCAGGTCCATTTGATACAGAGCTGAGTTCAGGTCTTGAATATCTTTGTTAATTTTTCTGTCTTGATGATCTAATGTTGTCATTTGGGAATTAAAGTCTCTCACTATTATTATGTGAGATTGTAAGTCTCTTTGAAGGTCTCTAAGAATTTTCCTTATGAATCTGTGTGTTCCTGTATTGGATGCACATATATTTAAGATAATTAGGTCTCCTTGTTGAAGTGAACCCTTTACTATTATGTAACACCTTTATTTGTCTTTTTTTATCATTGTTGGCTTAAAGTCTGTTTTGCCAGAAGCTAGGATTGCAACCCTGGCTTTTTCTGCTTTCCATTTGCTTGGTAAA